CCCTAAATTGGTACACTTGTCAACTGTCACGTGTCATCTAACTCAGAAATTCGACAGTAAAATTTAATAGAAACTAACGGAGGGTAAATTTATCACGGATGTACTAGTTTGAGATTTTTCCTGATTAAAAAATTAGTTTTTGGTAAAATTATCATAAGTGTACTAGTTCGGGGTTTTTCGTAATATTAATCCTATTTCGTAATATTAATCCTAAATTCTATCTAGGATAAGTCAATCAATTTAAATGAATAGAGTCATAGTCGGAATTGGCCTACAAAACTCATACAGATTGAGTCATCGGGGTAAATTACAAAATTTAACATAGTTGGAGGGCTGGTTTACAAAATTTCAAAAAACAAAAGTTGTAGAATACGTAACGAGCTGTCTCTTTGCAAAGTTTAGATAAATTGACTTTGACCTTATTCATTCAAATTGACCGACTTATTCTCCATACAATTTTATGAAATTTTGGGTATTTGCAGTTCAAGACCTCTCCTACAACATTCAAACGTTGATCTTTTATAAAATAGTCCTCCAACTATATATTATTTTTAAAACAAAATCAATCGACACAGACAGATTTTTCATATGAAAATCCAGTTTTCTTCGGTAACTTCAAACTCAATGTTCATAGCCTTAACGATCTTCAAATTTTATAATCTTTATATCAAATCAAAACTACGAATCTCTACTTTAATTCATCTAAAAACAAGTTTTCCATATTCTACACCTATTTTTTCATAAAATTCTTTGAACACAAGAAAGTCAGAACAGCTTCAAATTTTCCGTAACACATCCATATCTTCAACACCTCCAACAAATAATTCTATCATTTATCTCAACCTAAATCACATTCAACTAAGTTCATTCAACACATTCAACATGCCTTCAACATTCAAGCATCAAAGTTTAACATCCATCACTCAATTAAATCACAAACCTCAAAGGATTGTCCTAAATCATCATCTATGCAACATACATTAACTTAGGCAAAAGAACACTACAAGTGCCATAACTTGTGTACCACGCTCACTTTGGTGCCATAAGTTTTTTTTTTATCACTTTAGTGCTAAAATTTTTGAAAAATGATCACTTAAGTGCTAAAATTTTTCAAAAACGATCACTTAAGTGCCAACTCCGGTGCCGTACACAATTTTTCGCCGGAAATCCGACGTGGCATTTTTTTTTATTAATTTCTAAAGCTGAAGTGGCTCACCGGAGATTAGCACTTAAGTTATCGTTTTTCAAAAAATTTAGCACTTAAGTAATCGTTTTTCAAAAATTTTAGCACTTAAGTGATCGTTTTTCAAAAATTTTAGCACTGAAGTGATCCAAAAAAAAACTTTTGGCACTTAAGTCATCGTTTTTCCTCCGATTTGGCACTTAAGTGAGCCGGCGAAAACTTTTGGCACTAAAGTGAGCGCCGTACACAAGTTATGGCACTTATAGTGTCATTTTGCCCATTAACTTAGAACTAAGTGACATTCAAATCAAATTCATGCTCTAAGAGATTCGACTAATTACAGGTAGCAAAAGAATTGAGGCTATTCAAGTTCAATTGGCTTGGATTAGGCTTAATTTCTAGGGATGATTGAACTAAAGCACATAAACATAGAAGATCTAACTTTAATTAAAACTCAATCAACTAAAATCCCACCAAATTCAACTTGAGAAAGTTATAGAGAGCAAGAAATTGAAGCTCTAAATTCACCTAAACATGTAATTGATATTCGATTTTATTTTAAAATCCTAAATTTATAAGCAACTTTATGTTAATTTCAGCGAATTCCATCATACTTAACTTAGGATTGATCATTGATTAAAGATAACGCTTCAATTTTACACTATGATCAATGTAACTATCCTAAGATAGTTCTCTAAATTTTTTGCAAAAATTAGAGCTCCTATCTTCGATTAGAATCACTGGTAAGCAATGAAGGAAATAGGCTGAATGAGTGAGGTTCCGGCAACTATTGGGAGCGACAACCACCATAGATGGCTAAAGGACACACCAAGATAATTTTGAATTTCCTTATTTATTTGAATTCAAATGTTATTTATATTTAATTATTATTTTAATTATTTTAATTTAAGAAGTTTGTTATTCGAGAAAAATAGCTTTTACAGCATGGATGTAAGAAATCATATTCACCTTTATCCAACCTCCCCCGCGAGATATTTATATCCGAATTATATTCCTCTCATATTCGACCTTATATTGTCTTGGGAAGGAACCAAACATATTTTACCATATCCTGACTACCAAACATAGCATGAGAATATACAAATTTCCTGACCAAGGAAAGTATGATCTTCTTCGAAAGTGTTAAAATATCTCACCTCACTTGCTTACGGGATTTGTATGCTCTTTATAATCGTGTGATCGACCTCCACCCACTAGCTTAAACTTTTAGGTAAGTATAAGAGTCAGGTTTTATCCGAGTTTATTTTGCGTATGCGGCCCTAATCCAACTTGCACCTGAGATGGATATCAAAATATCCTATATAAGTTTAATTTAATCTCTTGCGTTACAAGGTCAGATAAGGACATTAGTAGCTATATCTCAATCTGGAAACTACCGCAAGTGAAATGCTTCGATATGAAAGATATGTTTGACATTCTTTGGTATATATATCCTTCCAATTTAATTTCTTGCCTTAGAAGGGTGGATGGAACATGTTAGGCCATTACATGGAAGGGAGATGTGGTGTTCAATGTTCAATATCATTACGGAAAAATATCCAATTTTAATATGGAAATGAAGTAAATAATATGCTTCGAAATGTAAAACAACAAACTAGTAAAGTAGAATGGTGAACAAATATGACTAATCTCAATTTGTAGATTCAACTATAATATCTCCTGGTTAGATTGCTTAACTAAAGGCTTTATCAAATTTAAACAAATTCTAAGGAAAAAGCCACAAAAAACCCCAAACTTTGCCCCCTGTGACACATTTACGTTAAATTATTCTTTGTAACACCAAAAGCTCTAAACTTGTACCCGTGTGACATGTTTAGCTCAAACTTTTTTTGCGGCACCAAAAACCCTAAATTTATACATGCGTGACACATTTACCCCAAAAATTTTTTTTGTGACGCCAAAAATCCCAAACTTTTTTTTTATGATACCAAATTTTTTAGATAAATGTGTCACATTGATATAAGTGTGGGGATTTGGTGTCATAAGAAGAAGTTTGGAGTAAATATGTCACATAAGTACAAATTTGATGTTTTTTATTTCACAAAAAAAAAGTTTGGGGTAAATATATCACAGAGGACATAGTTTATGATTTTTGGTGGCTTTTACCCCAAAATTGCATTTGCACTAAATTTCTTTCGCAACCTCCCTCTCAGGTTTCGCATATATATTGCGCGAGAATGTGTGCTTGCATGCATGTACTATCACATTTTAATTTGTATGGTGCACTTGAAAAAATATAATATAATCTTTACACGATGTGGATTAAATCCATATGAACTCTCGACCATTTAGGCCTCTAGAGTATAAACCCACATAATCAATGGTTAAGATGGTTTCGATCTACATGATCTATGGACAATCCAACATCAACTTGTGCATTTACTTAGGCGCCTATGTGAGCAAATGTGGTCTGACTGACAATGGACATTCACATGGGTAAATTGGAAAGTTCAACAGTCGGTAGCGATGGCGAGTGTTTGATGAGACGATCGATAGTAATATCTGCCTTTCCTTTTTCTTGAGATCAAAACTTGAGTTTACCATTCGCGAACTTGTTAATGACTCATTTAAGAGCTTCAAAAATCCTCGTGAACAACGAAGTAGCACATCGCGCGTCGAGCAACTGACAATGACGAGCTTCCTTTGTCGACAACAAGATCGATGTAGACCAGCTTGTAAAAGGACAACAGATGACCTGTCGACGGACAATGTTGACGCCATCGAATTTAAACAAGATGGAAAATTGAGCAAAGAGATGAAAAGTGAATATTCACTTGTAATTTGATGGAATTTGCATATCTATTTTCAGCTAATATTAAATAGGGTTAATACTGCGAAAAACTCAAACTGGTACATCTATGACGATTTTATCCGAAACTAATTTTTTGACTACTAAAAACCTCAAACTACCCGTGATAAATTTACCACAAACTGATATTTTGACCATCAAAAATCGTAAACTGGTACATTTCCTCCATTAGTTTCCGTTAAATTTGACTAATATCACAAAAAGCCACAAACGGATACACATGTGATAAATGCAAGGTAAAACCCCAAACAAGTACACCCGTCAATTGCCATAGATCATCCAACTCGGCAATTTAACGGTAAAATTTAATGAAAATAAGCAGAGGGTAAAATTATCATAGATGTACTAGTTTTGATTTTTTCATGGTATTAACCCTACTGAATAATTGCAAAGAGAAGCTTCATTTTTAAAAAATAAAAATGCCATACCACATCTTAACTAAAGTAAAAATGGCAATACCATACTACCATATTTTAGGGAACATAACATTCAAATGTCTTCCAATTTTTGCGGACTCGGTATAATTGAACTCTCGCCAAAATTTAATACTAAAAATAACAGAAGTCGGTCGGAAAAATGGAAAGATAAAAGTTATAGCAAACTTAAACCGTAATTTGTCGATCATAACCGGAAGTCATATCATTAACTGCCAATCATAACAGCCAGCGATCATAGTCGATCACGCACATCTTTCAACACATATCTTACGAACATCCTAACGGTTATGGTAGTGTATATAGCTTGTAAATTCGGTCCACGCGAGTATCCCCCCCCCGGCCGACGCTGCGGGCCGCGAGCCGAGCGGGACCGCAGCACCCAGGGGCCCGCGAAAATCTAGGGCAGGCGGTGGGGCCCACAGGAACCCACTAGAGCGTGAGGGCCCACAAAGGGCCGCTATAAATACGCCCCTCCAACTGTAGCAGTAGACCCAAGAAGACCAGAAATCCACCACACCCTCCCCATTCTCTCTATTACAAGGTGGGGGGTCTCCTCGAACTCAGTAAACTACTGCTGAGACCGTAACAAAGCTTTTGGTCTCTTTCTTTCTTTCCGACCACAACACATACTCAAGTTAACCAAAACCCCCAAAAAAATAGAAAATCAAAACACCAAGTTACAAATAAAAAAACGAAAGAAGAAGCCATCTTCATCCTCGAGATCTCTCTGGCCATTCAGCAGCAGTCAAGTACCCCTCCAAAACCCTAAGTTTTTACCCTACAATGGGCTCCAATGTCTCCCCCCACGACTTCCCTTCCTCCGAACAGAATTCTGCCCCCGACCCCGCCCCCGCCCCCGCCCCCGCCCCCGCCGCCGAGCCCCCGCCGCCGAAGCCCCACCGGCAGCTAGCCCTCTCCCGGAAGAGCGCGTCCGGCCCTTCCCGGGACCGGCACACCAAGGTGAACGGCCGGGGCCGCCGGATACGGATCCCGGTGCTCTGCGCGGCACGGATCTTCCAGCTGACCCGGGAGCTCGGCCACCGCTCCGACGGCGAGACCATCGAGTGGCTCCTCCGCTGCGCCGAGCCCTCCATCATCGCGGCCACCGGCTACGGCAGCATGCCCGCGGAGCCCGTCACCACCGCCGTGGGCGCGCTCCCCCCGTCCAAGGCCCCCTCGTCCGCCCCGTGCCCGGTCGCGCCGCTGGCGCTGGCTCCCCCGGCGCCGCCCGGCCACGGGGCGTTCCCGATCCCGCCGCCGGACTGCCGGCTGGACCTGAGCCAGCCGAACGGGTTCGACTTCTCGGCCGGCGGCATGACCAACGGTTACCGCCACATGCCCTTCACGGCGTTGCTGTTGCAGCCGGCGGCGGCGGCGGAGGAGGCGGAGGAGAGGCAGCACAGGGAGATTCTTGGTTAAGAAAGAATAAGGCCCTTTAAGTCGAGTGTCTTTTGGGGGGGACTTCTGGTAAAGAATATATGACATGATTTATGGTCTTCTTCGCTCTCAATGTGTATTTCTTCTCTTTTTGCTCTTTCTTTTTTCTTCGTTTTTTCATAGTTTATGGAGACGGGGGGGGCCTTAAGTTAGAAGGATGAAGAAGATGGACAATGTTAGGAGTTGAATCGCGAACGTATTAATCGAAAAGGAAATTAGAAAACGTGGGAACTTCGTTTGATATATTGCATGGTTCTGGATTTACAGTGCCATTCAAGGTGTTGACCATGGGTCCACCACCAGAGAGTGGCTAAGTCAGTAGAAACGAAAAGAAAACATAACGATGAGATTTGAACCGGACCCCACCCACCATGGGATATAATGTCGTGTTGGCTGACATGAAGGGGGCTCGAACGAGCAGATCCAGATCCAGTCGGCAGCTGATTCAGGTGTGCGTAATTCCTGGCTGACTTTTCGCAGAAAAAGCTCGTTTTCCTTTTCGAAATGTCCGTACCGGCAGAACTTTTCGGATTAGATCAATTACATCAGCTGTTCGTGGCACCACGCGAGATTTCACGAGAAATCAAAGGATCCAGAGATAAAGGTTGATTCTCACTTTGCATTAATTGATGATGCCCCCCACCCCTGCATGGATGGTGTGACCCTGAGGCTCCTGAGACCAGAGCCGTTTCGACTTTGACCCTTGGATTGTAGTGCAGAAACTGCCTGCATCGGGCGTCACTGTGTAGTGGCGAGTTCGGTATCGGATTCGGGATGGTTCGCCCAGTTTGTGCCTCAGTTTCACTTGGCACGGTCAATTGATAGAATATGGTTTAGATATGAATGGAAGGTCATTCTGTCTTAACCACTTCCGTGAAGGCATCTTGTTGGACTTTTCATGAGCTTATCATATGCTTGCAATCCGAAGAATAACCTTCTGGCATTACATCAATAGGCAAAACTAGAAAGACAGAAACGATGGATTCATTACATCCTCACATTATACAGATCATAGAGGTGTGATGATCTCTCATCTGCTCTCCCCCTTGCACGGCTCTACGCAGACGCCAAAAATAAGAGAATCAGGTTACAAACCATAAAAGCATGAGAGCAATATGGATTTTCAACGCCCATACAAAGAACAGCGAGGCCAATCAGGATATCTGACGATGGGTCTTATAGATCTGATAGTGCAAGTACTCAGCATAAATGAAGCATGGAGGATGCTGAAGCGGACTCGTTACTGTTAAGTTTATGCCGTAGCCTCCAACTCAACAAATGTATGGACATTTTCGTTTCCTAGACAACACCTCCATCTCAACAACTATAGCTGATCTACATGATCAGTACCAAGTAGCATTTATTGTTCCACAAGTCAAAGACGTCATCACGGGCAAATCTGTTTTAGAGAATTTACAGCCGCATCTGTCGAGATGCACCACCTCTGTTTGAACATAAAAACAGACAAAAAAAATCTCCCAATTCGGAATATCTTATTCTTCCAGAATGTTGGAACAATATACATATTTGGTTGAATTCGTCCCACATTAGATATGAATGCCATCGGCATGCAAAATGAGAAAAATGCATGCCAATCAGGCAGAACATACCATACTGAAGTTATGGGTTTACAATAGAGAAAGATATAAAGTTAGTGAGCTTTACACCAATTAAACAAAAACTCTTGAGAAGCAATTTTCAGCTGTATTAATGGGGAATATGCCTCATGCAGGCCAACTCTGGCTGATCCTCATGCCCATAAAGAAGACCACCATTTCTTCTTCTTCCCACAATGCGAGGCGGGAATATCTGAATCTTAATTGGAAAAGGAACTATATCACTTAAATGGTGAAATGATAGAACACGCGCAGAGAGTAGGCATAATTCGGATACTTGGTAAAGTTCTATGAGATGTTAAGCTATATCAAGATAATTTACAAGTCCATTAAAGAATCTAAGACTGTTAACTTCTCTTGAAAACTAAATTGAGCCTCATCTTCAGTTGTAGCCTACCTTGAGGGTAAATTGAGTTGTAATGCACCTCTGCCCAGAAGCTTAGGGATAGGACTGCAAGAAAAAGAACAACTTATTAAAACTTGTCCATAATTGTTGGCAGGTATGAACGAGTAGGTTATTGAACTTCATCCTCCAGTGAGTGACATGATACGCACACATGCACATGGACAAAAATGTTTTGAGAAATGATTCTCAAGGATAACATTCTAAGCTTGTATCAACTGGAACAAGACCCACAAGACATCGTACAGTATTAGCAATATTAAACTGTGACAAGAATACAGACATTTGCACTGAGATGGACACAGAAATTGAAATAACTCAAATTTACATCAGGCTTAAAAGAATAAATCAACTTAAAGAGTCTCAGTCTAAAAGCACCTATGAAAGACTGATTATAAAATTAATAGAGGCAAGTTTCTTCCCAGATGAGAGCTGCAAATTACCTTGGTTTGGTTTCTGACCATTAGGAAGAATCTCAATGGAACATGTATCCTTGAATGAAGTTATCACGAATATTTTTACTGCAAACTGCATTGAAATATAAAATCAGCATCAGTCATATTGGAAATGAATACATAAAAGTCAATTATATTAGAATCTTCAGGTCTTAATAGCTAGAGAATTTTACATAATGCGATACATTTAAGTTTTCAAATTCTTTCCTCCCATTGAATGAAGAATGACTAAATGCGTGTATTGCCAGCAAAAGAATCATATCAATCTTGGGGTCTGTCTTCCAAGAGAGAGTTGTTCAGATCACAAGTCACTCCAGTCACCCTAATAGTTATGTCAAATATGATGACCACAATCTAAATCAAGAAAAACAGAGTATTGGAAAAGACCATGTACAAGCGGCAAAAGATATCCTTGATTGCTGAAGACATAGAAATAGATTTATTTAAAAACTCATGCAGACGGCAGCTACCATACAATGTAAATTATAATAAATGCATGCATGCAGTTATCCACGGTTGCGACTGATGCAACCGCGGGATCATGCGCCGGGTCCCCGTAGGACCCACAGGGAGCACACATGCAAAACATTCCAGTTTCCCCACTTATGTCAAACATGCCCTTAAGAAGTATTCACACAAGATGCATACTAGCATAGAATCCAGGCAACGGTGCTGAATGCCGACGTGCTTCTCGAATCAATCAAAAATAGTAAAAATATAACCAGAATTAAAACTCAGAAGGAAATGAAAATGACATGAAAGAAACATACCGCATCTGCAGCAGCCTGCAAAGTGACATGATCACCCCACTCCCCATTGCTGTGTCGTTCGTGCAAATAAGAGAATTAAAAGACATGTCAATATGCTGATAGCAACCATTGAATGATATGCAAGTGCTTAAATTATGAAAAGATTAACAGACTTGGACATCTTGCACAAGTATTCATCATAGTCCATAGGAACATATCCCTCATAAAGCTCTCGTAGCGTCCTGAGCTGAGAAAACAGAATATAGAAGAGATTCAGAATATAAGTTTCTGATTCATTCAACATAATTAAAGGATTGTTCCAGTCTGAAAAACAAACCTGTTCCACAATTTGTTGCCTCACGTATTCATGATTCTCAGATGTTTTAAATAATTGATCTGATAATGCACGGAACTGGGAAAAACAATAGATTCAGAAAGCTAAGAGATCAGAAATGCTCATGCCCATTCTCATCGTTGAAGAGAACAATAGGTACAAGTAAATGTACAATTACAAAGAGAAAATGAAAAATAAGTGAGGAAAACCAACCTGACAATTTCCATCCCCTTCTACCTTACGCTCAACCAAGCCATACAATTGCAATCTAAAAAATTGAATATCAGCACTTGCATAATCATATTCAGTATACAATAGAATTATATAAAAAGAAAACAACATGGTAAATATTTGGAAACTGCCATCATATCCTGGCTGTTTGCTCACTAAAAATCCTTTCCTGATTAAAACTTTTGAGCTCAATAACTGCTCTTACCAGGCCAAGTTTTGGCAGATGCAAAGATTGTAAAGGTGCCAAAATCTTTGGCGGAAAGAACACGAATTGTATGTATTGTCTAGCCACACTATGACAGAATTATCATAACCGTACATCAACAACGGCGACACTTCAGGGAAGCAAAAGGTGAATAAGTACACAAGTATACACATCCATCTTTATTATCATCCTGCTTGCTGCTGACATGTCTACCTATTTTGAGATTTCAGTTGATAAAGCCAGACTGAAAACTTGCATTTTTCATAATCGGACCTCTTATGTTATGAATAAGTACCTTTCACGCAACCTCTCATAATCTGAAGTCGCTTCGTCCGTGGAAGGTATCTCCCCATTGATTCTTGGAACATGCTGTATAGAAGTAATTTCAGTTTGACATTTAAATATGAACGTTATTCTCCCTTCCATCAATATAAACAGGGGACATTCACATTAAATAAGCTTCTCACAACAAATCTAACTAGAGGCAGCTGGCATATCATTCACCCCACCTAATGGAAAAGAAAAAAGGAAAGCAAAACATTTTACACAATTATACATTTCCATCTTTAATTGTCATCATGTTTGCTGCTGACATGTCACCCTAAGTCGAGATTTTAGTAGAGAGAGAGAGAGACTTTAGTTGGTAGAGAGAGGCCTATAGCATATACAACTTTCACAAGCCATACTGATAACAGAAGCTTTTTTCATAATCGAAGAATAAAAAAAAACTAATCCGGGACATCAACCATTCTAATGAAAGAAAACTTACTGGAATAGGAACCATTTGATTCAATGGATTGTCCATCTCACTGTACTCATAACCATCAACTGGCTGCTGAGAATAAGAATAGTCTTCTCCATCACCGTGGCTAATAGACGAATCATAAACCCACCCATGATCTGCTTCTCCATGATTATAAATATTCCCTGAGCATCCACACAGAAATTTCAGACAACCTATCATGCTGAGATAAGCCACGAAATGGATACATCAATTATCAAGTACCTGACCAATACATTCTCGGTGATGGAGTCTGCCAATTCTGTTGGTCGATAGATACTTTCGAGTCCTCTTCCTCTGCATGTGAATATACAGGCACTTCTCTCACTGCTAATTGTGAGAACTCTTCTTGTAAGGTACGTGCAATGATCTCATCATTTTCCACAGAGCTACACTCTCCGCCACAGTGGCTCATCGGATACTGTCCATGATAGGTGCTGTTAGCATCGTGATGACTTGTGATGGTGTAGTATCCCACGAGTGGATTAATATCAAATATATGGCGACCCCACTGACAGGCATCTGATTCTGGCTCAACCATAACTATCTCAATCACAAAATCCTGTAGATGTCCTTAAAGCCAAGAATGACATTTACAATTTGGCCACGGAACTCTGAATTGCATAATAGAATTATTCCTGCAAAGAACATTAAAGCTCACATCTCAAGCTCTAAAAAATGTTAAGGTAACCAAGACAATGAAGACCTTAGCCCGACACTGCATTTCTCTTTCTTCAAAGCAAAAAGGATCATTGAGTATACTTATAAGACTACAGGAAAAAAATGTCTAAGAAAAACTAGCAGTTTTCGGAGCAATATTTTGCCAGAATTCCCTAAAAACAGAAGGCTATCCAATTCGCCGCCTCTGAATGCAATTGGGTATGCACAGAAAGAAAGCTTTACAGATTATGCCACCGACAAGGCTAGATAGATTGGCTCATAAGCGTTACGCGCAATCTTGTTCACGAAATGAGGTCTACCGCTTGTAATTCGACACGCCACTTTTGTCTGCACTCTGCTGCCTAGAGATGCTATATCACAATACGGGCATGTAAATGCCGCGCCCAAAAGCGACTCCACCAGCGGAATCTTTTCGTCCACGTTCAATCAAGTGTTTGTCCAGTTAGGGACGGTGCAACGAAAAAAACTACCAGAAACTGCGAAATCATGCTTAATCAAGGACAATAAAGGGAGAAAATACCAACTTTCTTATCTTCGATTTCTACACATGGATAGACACAGCCGTACTCGCACGACAAATTCGCAACAATTTAAATCCATAGGCCAAAGAACTCATCGGCAGAATCCCGCATCGCCCTAACCGGAACGAAGGGACCGGAATCACATTCGCAATTCAACACGCCCGGACTCCTCTCTCACCGAATTGCTCTACCGAAACAGAAAATCACGCCAAAAAAAAAAAAAACCCGCACATCTTCGTAATTGCTAACTCAATCCAACCGAACTACATAAAACCAATCCATCTTCAGCAAAGCAATCGCCAATCGATCCATATAAAGAAAATTCCACTCCCAAACAAACCAGCCGCCTCACACCGCGGCGAACATAAACTCAAAAACAGAAACAGAAACAGAAACAGCGATGGCGGCAATCCGATTAAGAGCGCTCACCCGATCAGTGCCGACTCGATGCTCATACAAGCCAAAAAGAACACCGAACCGAACCGAACCGCTTCCCTCCGCAAGCCACCGCGCCGCCGCTGCGGCCGCCGCGCGAACCGATCAAATCGCCACCACCGCGGAGCGCGGCATGCTCGAAACCGCCGATCGACTGGCGATAAGATCGAAGCGGGAAGCAGCGACGTGAAGAAGACGGAAGAAGGAAGGAGGAAGAAGGAAGGAGGAGGAGGGGGACGACTGGTGGGAGTGCAGACTGCAGAAGAGGAGGGAGGGAGGAAAAATGGAGCGAGCGTTGCTCCACGCGTTTTATATACAGTTTGGGGGGCGGGTGTTGTGGGTTGGCGTTCAAGGGTGGGGAATCTCGTACGGGCGGCACGCTGGCCGTCGGATGGACCCCATCCCCGAAATTAGCGTCGATTTAAGCGCCAAAAATCTCTTGAAATTGATTGCCCCCTTCCTCCCTTTCCTTTCCTTAACTTCCCATCCTATCTTTCTTTCTTATTTCCTCAAATTAATTCATTTCGATCTCCGATTATTATACTTCACCGGATTTACTAAACGGTACTCTTTGAATTTTCGATCATGATCGCTATGATACATGTGATTTTTATATATCGTGCGCGCAATTATTATTGTTATTGTTATTATTATTATTTTTATTTTTTTTTTGGTGAATGGATTTGGATGGGACGCGGGCGAGGGGGGATTCGCGATTGATTGATGTTTGAATTAGCCTTTCTAAATTCGATGAAGGCCGCTGTGCTGTTGACTGCACGCGGGTGTCGTGTGTTGACCTTTTGTGACCACTTTACTTGCGAAGTCCGCCGTAGAATGATTGACTTTTCTGTGGGAGCGCGAATAATGCATGGGGATAATATCGTACACGATTGAATATACATGGTGGGATCGGGCATTTACGAATTTGGACCCGGGCTCGCAATCATGCACTTTGGATGTTTCTAATACTATATAGGGTTAATACCACGAAAAATCCTAAACTGATGCATTCATAATAAATTTACCCAAAACTAATTTTTTGACCTCATGTGTATAAAGTTGTGTGTGTGTGTCAAGCGATCGTTTTTTAAAAAAAATAATTTCCAAATCATTCATTTTACGCGAAATGGACGGCTCATTTTGAATGAAAACTGCTCTTTATAAATTGTACGAACAAGCTTAAATGGGAGGGAAAACGACTTCCCCTTCTGGCAAGAAAGAAATCACTGTCTCTAGAATCATCGCAAATTAAAACCATCAATTTTCTTCGAAAATGATTTCCACGAAAAATGCTTTAATTTATCGCGAAATTTTCGGTGAAACTAAATACGCCCCAAAACCCACCGTCAAGCGTTGTGCAATACTTCAACAAATCAATCGTGGATTCGCGCTCTGCACGAGTCAAACAAATACTTACATGTCACGCTACGTACATACGCACATACGTACATATATATAATACAATCAATTGGTAGATCCTCCAAAACGAAAAATTTTAATGGGACCTTATTAAATGATAAAAAAAATCATCCTTTGCATATTAAATGGAAAATGACACAAACAGTCCCTGAATTTTGACTCAATGTGTAATTTAGTCCCCGAACTTTTAATTTGTTCAATGAAATCCCTAAACTTTAACCCAATGTTCAATGTGGTCCCTGAACTTTCAATTTGTTCAATGTGGTCTCTAAATTTTTTGTACATGTTCAATTTAGTCCCTGAACTTTATAAAAATTCTTAATGTAGTCCTTACATTAATTCAAGTTCATGAACTATATTGTACATTTTTATATAGTTCAGGAACTAAACTGAACATGTACCAAAAGTTCAGGGACCATATTGAACAAATTAAAAGTTCAGGGATTATATTGAACAAATTAAAAATTTAGGGATCAAATTGTATATTGAATCAAAATTCAGTTACTGTTTGTGTCATTATCTCCATATTAAATTATAATAAACCGATTAAAATATATAATAGGGAGAAAGCGTGGGACGCACAAAATGGGTGCCGCCCGTTTGCGTGCATCGACGGCCTTCCATTCGATGGCGGCGTGGAGAAGTGCGCGTCCACAGCAGAGTCAAAATTAGGCATGATTTTTTTTACCTCTCTTTCGTGCGCGTATTTAGTGTCAGCCGTCGGATCTGACTTTAAGACTAGGCTCATGAACTAGGCTCATGCATGGATTCCACGGATGCTTTGATGTGATGGGGATGTCGTGTCGTGATGGGGCCATGGCGATAGGGATCGCCCACGGAACGAGGGCAATCGTGTCGATAGGGGAATTTAATTAGAGATAATATAAATGAGATTATTATTTTTTTCAGATTAATATCACGAGAAACCCTAAATTAGTACGTTCGTGATAAATTTATCCCGAACTAATTTTTTTATAACGAAAAATCTCATACTGATGTACATGTGATAAATTTATCCCAATTTAATTCTTTGACCACCAAAATCCCTAAACTAAGACACTTTTGACAATTTTACCCTTAATTAAATTGAATTAATACCACAAAAAATCACAAATTGATACATATGTAATAAACGGGGGGTAAAACCTAAAACTGGTACACCGTATCGTTCATTAAAATTTAACGGAAACTAACGGAGGGTAAAATTATACAGAAGTACCCGCTTTGGGTTAAAAATGGTTTGGAATAAATTTGTCACGGGTGTCAATTTAAAATTTGTCGTGGCGTTAACTCTTTTTTTATTTTTTTCAATTTCCTGAATTGCGTCATCTTCGAGGATAAGTTACCTATGTGGTGCGGTTGTCCCCACCACCCCTTGTTTCTAGAATTGGTATTTAATAACATGGACAAGGACAAATTTTTGCTTTGATCGATATGAATTTTATATTCTGACCCAAAAAAAATATGAATTTTTATGTAGGAGCTAGCTTATTGCGTAAGGTAGTAAGTACCATTTTCGGGCACGGACCATCCCCCCCTCAGTCACACCCTAAATATCTAAGGAAAAAAATCGTTGCGTAATCTAGAAAAGTTTTCGAAGGTTGGATTCTCTTTGATTTGTTCACATGCACTGTCGCGAAAAATAAAGATTTATCATGTTCAAGTGTCTCGAATAATGATGAGAGCACGTTATTTTGATTGGAGTTATTTTGAGCACTTAAAATATACTCTCCCAGCCAATTTCTGAAAATTGGGAAAACATGTTAAATTAATGAAATTGTTTTTTACATTGAGATTAACTTTTTTTTTTCTTAATAGGAGATTGAAAGTGAACACGGTGTTAGTCTGTCCGCGCTCCACCCGATACCATTTAGATATGTCTATTTTTTAAAGGAGAAATTATACTTTTCGTCCATATAATATCATGCATTTTTAATGAAGTCTCTCTACTTTAAATTTTAATTTGGTAATAAAACATTTCTATTTTCACAAATTTTTTTCAAGTCCCTCCAACATCAAATCCATTCGAATTCAACTGATGTGACTGTCGAACGTTGCCTCATGTATGACGCGAATAAAATATGCAAATCCCCACATGGACATGTCACGTGAATTTTACTAAATGGTGTTGGACTTAAATCAAAATTTGTGCAAATAAAAGAACTTGGTTAGATAAATAAAAAATACTCGAACTTGATTAAAAAAGTACGAAATAAGTGGATAAAAGGTATATTCTTTTCTTTTTGAAAAATACCAAATGCACAGATTACTTTTACTGTTGAAGAATACTATGCATCTTCACCTTAGTCATCACTACACCTCTTCGCCAAAATCTAAAGATATCATTTTCAACCTAAGAAAAATTCAAAGCATCATATCAAAATCTGTACGTTGCGAAAATCCCAGATGTGAACGCTAACCAAAAAGTCAATGTGCATCCTTCGCAATTATACAAGATTCCACGTGTCAAAAATTTGAGTTCTTTTGAAAAGTTTCGAATGATTCTTTTAAGCCAAAAAGAAAAAGTTGCCTTTAAATGCACAGTACCAAATAACAATTTAACAGTACAAGTCACCCCCAAATCATAAAGGGTTTTACTTTAGAGAACTCTTTATGTGGAGAAAAGAACCCCTTTTTTTTTTTTTTCCAGTTCAATGATCTTGCCTAGAAAGATCCTGACCATCCCCTGCTTGTGTGATCATGCAAAGCTTTTTGCAACAGAGGAAAAAGGTTGGTTTAGTGCGAAATCAAACTTAAGTTTTTTTCCCACTTTCTCTTTATGGTCGGCTGGGACGGCATTGCTAGTCTTGTCTCCACTTTTTCCGATCTTAGAAAGGAAGACGAGAAGGGTTGCCATCACTTTGCAATTATCGCATCTGCTTGAAATTCAAAGGGAAAAATAAACACTCGAAGTAATATATTTTCTATCTTTACGATGAAAAAAAAGGAATAAGTTCTCTAAAAGTCCTAAAATGTGTTACGAAAGTCTAATTGGGTCTTAAAACTTTCAAAAAGTGCAATCAACGGAAGGACTTGATTGGACCTATTTGATAAATTTTAGGACTTAATTGCACTTTTTGAAAGTTTTAAAACTCAATTGCACTTTCGTAACAAGATTTAGGACTTTTAGAGCATTTATCCCGAAAAAAGAAAGAGCTTGTTTTCTCTATCTATAAGATAAAGTTAAGAAATAATAATGTGGAAAACAGATTTGAAGAATTTCTATATAATTCTATGTATATGATAATAAAAAGTATATCGGCGTATTTATATGCTTTTATAAAAGGCTATCTAAGGCAATAAAATCAAGATATGCACAATCAAGGAAGATATACGTGCAATCTTGAGATATATGCATAATCAAGTAAATTTCCTAATTTCACTAACATCCCCTCAAACGTAAGATGAGTTGGAACAAATCAACGCGAGTTTGAAAAATAATCCGACAGTATCCCAAAATCTTGGATTGAAATGAAATCAGACAGCGGAACCGGCGCTGCACAGTCGGACATGGAGGATGCGTGGCGCGTAAGGTGCGTGTGGTGGGTTCAGGCTTCCGTTGACGACGAGATTTCAATATGTTGATCGTCTGACAATGGCGAGTGTGTTGGCGATGTCGGCTTCTTGAAATGAGAAGTGAAAAGTCGAGAATCAGAGGCATTGGAGCCATATAGCATGCGTCATTTGCGATCGGCGACGGAACAGTAACTTGACAAACACGGTTGATACGGCTGGTGTGGCGTGGCTACAACAAGCAGAATAAAATCAGGCTTTGCGGAGCGAATTATTGTGCGAAGACGCATCTTCCCAGCGTCGAAAAATACCTTCGTGAAAAAGAAAAGCTTGACTTGGTGACTTTGGTGAACACTGT